TGAGCTGGATCAGACGTGAGAAGTCCTTCAATCAGGGGTGAACTTCTGACGGTTTGACTCTGAGCTGAAATCTGGTTTCTATCCATTTTGTTAATTTTTTCCCTAAGTTACCTGAAAAGAGTCTTGGAACTACAAATACTAGAAAAACGTAATAAAAGTACTTAAAAGCAATTAAAAACATAGAAAAAGTATTTCAAAACGATCCATAAAAGTGGTCAAAATACGGTGTTATCAATTACATTCCATCCAAGCTTCCAATTTACTCTTTTTGTCAGAGCTAGACGTTCCATCATCTTCCGATGATACACACGGCGGAGATGGAAGGTGAACAGGTAGGAATCCAACACCTATAGAGTTTAAGCATAAATATTTCAATATTTTGGTTAATAATCAAAACATAAAAACTTATGCTAAGTTATTGCTATATGGTTTTGGTGATATCAAACACATCATTATAATAAATAATAATCAAAACACATTACCTCTTAGAGACATATTCCAGTAAGTGTATATAACGTAACACCGAAAAAGAGAGTCCTGAAAATATTTTAAAAATATGTATGCAAACATTATGAGAAACAAAACTACATATATCTAATACTAAAATAGACAAAACTAAAGCATATAATACTAAAGTACATAATACGAAAGCACTCTAAAAGAGACATCTAACAGTCAAAAAAATACGAATATAATAAAATATTGAAACCCCAAAGCCAAAGAATTATGATACAAATTAAGATAGTGACAAGATGATGATCTTCTTAACTTAACATGCGTTTAAAAACAATTACACGAAACCTAGAATCTGGATATAAGGAAGAATGCGTGTACAACTAAAATATCCTCTTCAAAAGAACAGAGTCAAAAGACTACAATATAAAAACAGCAACAACATAAAAACACACAAAAATAATAGATTATGAAAACGACGCAAAGAATGAAGGAATTGCATATTCGAAAGTCTAACCTAGTTTTTTTTTCCTCAAGCAATATAAAAGAACGAATATAGGGGATGTATTTATATAGTTTTTCAATAAAAGGGTTTCCACTGCTAGGGTTTCGGTTAGACTGAATAATTTTTTTCCTATTTATGTGAAATTTCCATTTTTTTATAAACGTAAATTAAACATTTTTTAAAATTATTTCCGGATTGATCTATCTAATTACCTTAAAACAATATGAACAGTCTATTGCTTACAAGGATCATCTAGAATATAATTTGTATTAAAAATATCAATTACTCTATTTACAAAGCAACAGTTAGATCATAGAATAAATAGAACACAGAATTAATTAAAATTAATCAAATAATATCATATCGTCTGTTTCTTTTATAAAATGTTTAATTTGTAAGCACACAAAGCATCTTTGCAGTTCTATTGCTATGTGGATGAGACAAGTCGTTTTTATCTTTTTAAAAAATAATTGTAAACAATACTTGTATGGATAATGGTGTGAATATGTAGACCAATTCATGAATATATAGAACAAATATGATGAGCATGGGATCCACATTACATTAAAAATATTCGATAATACACAAAAACACATATATAAAAAACTCAAAATATGATAATAATCTAATTCATATTATATAGCCAAAACAGAGAACGAACATTCACAAGAAAATTTTAAAACAATCATTACAAATCTTGTAGAAAATCGAGATTTATAATTGATTTAGGAAACCATAATAGCAAATATAAGGTCGTGACGAATAACATAAAAGGCAAATCAAAACATATAAAAAACTAACGAATCCATAACACCAAATAAAAGGTTTTGTTGAATATATTAAAAAGGTATCTAAAACATTATCAGAAACAGAACATATAATGGATATTCAAGAATCGGCAGAGGGAAAGATCAAGTGCTTGACGCAGTTCCAAACATGCGCAGGATTCGCTAATGCCTTTGCCCTGAGAAGAATCCTAAACAACACACGCAAAGCATGCGAAGAGGACCATTTACTCGCTTCATAAAATCCAGCAATAAACTCATCATCGTCTTCGGATACCAATCCTATAACGTAGCAAGCATCTTTGAATGTTGAATATTGAACACCGTTGACGGTCCTAAGATCAGAAAAACAAAACGCTCCTCTTCTCACCTTCAACAAAAGTCTTAAGTAATAAAGTTCACCAGATGACAATGGACAACACTGCAAGAGAAAGACTTGAGAAGTTTGAGATAAACGGCGCCTCTACTTTAATTGTTTACGATCCCAAACCCATTCCAAAGGGAATTGAGGATACGTCAATTCCCTTGCTTCAGGATGAAGACGATTACATTTCATCCAAGCTTCCAGTTTACTCTTCTTTCCCAAACCAGACGTTTCCTCATCATCTGAGAATGATTGCGATGGTGGAGAGAGGTGCACAGGTAGGAATGGAACCCCTAATCAATGTTAATAATATACATATCAAATATAAACGATTAAACGTTTTAACCAATAAAAATATGAAAGCTTAAGATAGGTGCTGATAAATAACAAATACCAGTCGAAGACATATTCCAAGAAAATTATATACGATGAAACACTGACTAAGAGTATCCTGAAAAGCACAGAGTCAAGAGATCAGCAAGTACAATATGGCAAATTTAAAAAAATACATACAAAAATTTTAATATAAGAATCAACCAACAAAGAAATACAAGAAACACTAAAAGAAGTACATATAAAGATAAATACATTAAATTATAGCCAAAAATATCATAATAGAAACGATTAGGTTAAGAGATAAGTAAGTATACGTATAGGAGTTCTGAACGTGTATAAGCAGGTCGTCCTAAAATACCAAAAAACAATAGTGATCGGACAAAAAGCAACATAGTGTTAGTTTTAAGCTAGCGTCTGTAAACCAATAAGGGTTATACGAAACAACATAAAAAGATCGTATAAATACACTTACACGAAACCGATACGATGAATGAAAAGGATGAATGTGTGATTGGGTACACAATTTCAATATCCTCTCAAGCGGATGAACCTACAATATGAAACCAACAAAACCAAAAGAAAAACGAAAAGCAAACATAAAAAAATTTGAAATCAAAAACCAAAACGAAATAATATAAAACATGCGGCTAACAGAACTTACACGAGATAATCGAAGAGGAAGAATCAAATAGCACTTCAATATCCTTCTCAAAAGATCAGCGTGCGCTCTTAGATTCAGTATCGTCCTCAAAAGATCTGCCTGCAATAGAAAGCAACAACAACATCAAAATTAATCCAAAGAAAAAAAGCAAGCAATATATAAACGCAAATCAAAACGCCGCAGAACACAAACAAATCAAAAAAAATATTGCATATGAGAAAGTTTAACTAGGGTTTTTCTAAAACGATACGAAAGAATGAACGTATGAGACTTATTTATATAGGTGTTTAAGATTAGGGTTTAGGTCGGTAGTATTTCGTTTAGGTCACGTAAAATATGGGCCGTGAATATTTGTATGGACTTACGATATTGATTTGTTCGAGTTTGTTTAAAAAAATTTGGTTAATATATTTAAAATTAATTATTCTCATTAAGGGGCAAGTGGTAATTAACCACGCTGAAACTCAATGAGAGGCCTTCATTGCTTATTCTGAACCCGATTTTAATATATATGATATGATATTATAGACCATCAAAGGTGACCTATGAAGTGAAATCCATGAAATCCAAAGGAAGAATTGTCCCACGAGAATTGGTCCACAATATGCATATCATATAGTGCTTCCTAAATTATCTCCTTTAAATAAACATCTATACTACAATGCAAATAGTCGCATATTTTGATTTTGATTCAAATTGCTTATATATTTTCTTACAAACTCATTGTTGTTGCATTCAAATGCAAAAATTAATCGATAAACGACACAAACGGGGTCTAACTGTTGTTGGTTCTTCCTTTTTGTCTCTGTTGATGTTGTTGTTGCTCATGTCAATGATACGAGAATAGCTAATAAACTACTCTCCTCTCAACCAAATCCCTACAGCGGAATAAGTGAGACGGCAAGAAGTTCTTTCTGTCAGAAAACAAACAGCATGGTGTGTCTCTCCACGTCGTGAATACAAAATGTTGATAAAACGACAAGCGATTAAGTTGAAACAGCAAGAAGTGTAGTTTCAATTAAAAATGCAAAAATCACAGGAGCAGACGTTAAACAGAGTAGTACTCGTTTTCTGTCCTGTCACACAGATGATTTTCAGAGAGAAAGCTTAAACCCTAATTTCAGAGATGGTGATGAAGAAAGGGGAGCTAGTGTGGGTGAGCCTAAACTCTTCAGATACATGGATTCCGGGTCGGATTCTGGATCCATCGGAACCGTTTGGAATTCTGGTTGCCTTCTTCGACCTAATGAAACCGAGATACGTTCCAAAACCCTGTATCCGAGGCTTCGAGCGCCATTTCGGAACTCTGGTCGCAGATTCATGGAGGTTCCGCCACTTTGTGAACCGAGCTCTGCGAGCCCAGTTTTGGAATATCTCGTTTGGGCTATGGTGTTCTTGCCAGCCACCGATTGATTCGCCGGACTTCGACGGAGAAAATTCTCTCCCTTGTTTCCCTCTCTCTTCGGATTCGGCTCTCCGTTTTGTTCGGGATATGGCCATTTCGCTACGGGTTCCTCTCCGGAGATTAGCTGAGACCAACAATTCGACCGCTCAAATCCTTAGTTTTCGGCGATACACTGTTGATTTTAAGCGCTCCGAATCTGTATATGAAGAAATTAGAGAAAGTAAGTGTGAAATTCTTATTATTTTCTGGGTTTTCTACTTTTCTTGTTCTTGTGCTATGCTTGGTTTAATTAGGAGAGAAGACCCATTTGGTATTTTTTTCATATGCTTTAGAACTGCTCAGTGCAGATTATTGATACTGTCTCCTTCGATTATTTTAAGAGGAATTTAAAGAAGCCAAATTTGAGTGTTGATCTATTTGCCTTGCTCACACTAGACCATGGCGAAGTATTTGATACGGAGATGTTTTGTATCCTCATATAGTTCTGTCAATATGTGTACAGGTGCAAAGCTAATAGATAACACAGAAGAACCAAATTGGTGTCGTGATCCCTCCAACAAGATGGACTGCATCAATCAGGGTTTTATGTTTCCTGCAGACATGGAAACGAATAGAGATTTGAGTATAAGAGATCAATTGCCGAAGGATATACCTTGTTGTTCTTCTCCTTCTTCCGAGCAGCCTGTTGCTAAAGTAGTTCGGATTTGCACATGGAGTACGGGGAACCCTCTAACCATCTCTGATTCTAGCACTATGAAAGCTTGTGTAACCATGGCTCCAACAGCTGATCATGAGGATGATGATCACCCGTCAGAGAACAGAGAACACTGTCAAGTTGAGCAGAGTATCTGCTTACTGAATTCAGAACCTCGTATTGAAGATATAATAGTGGAAGACACCATTTCCGTTGCTGTCGCAAGAGCTGCTCTATCAGAAGAAGCACATCCTGACGTTATGATTGAAAGTAATGATGACATCATTGGTTCGGATGATGGAACTGTGACATCCGGAAAACAATTGTTACCCTTGCTTGATGCGAGTAACGACAAGGCTTTTCTAGCAAAGCCTGTTTCTTTTGTTGTTCTGAAAGCCTGCAAGAATCTAGATTGTTCAGTGAAAGAAACATATGCTAACCCAAGAAGCAAGCTTGATAGCACTATGATCAGTGCCAATACCTTGGATGAGGAATCGTCAGATAGGAATAATCTCAATGGAACACGTGGAAACGTCTCTGACGATGCATTGGACTCCCATATTGTGGAGGTTGGACAGGTTTCGCTACATATTACTGGCTCCTCAAACAAAGATTCTGGTTCTGATGATGTAGGCGTTGCACCCGCACCAAAATTACAAGATTTGGAAGACGCAACAACTGTTGAAAACCAGAAGAGAGCAGTTGATAATTTCAAATCCATTGGGGTCAAAAGGAAAGCGAGCCGAGACAGAGCAGGTAACTCCAAAAGAAAGAAGAAAGCAAGCCAACAATCTATTTCTACTGTTAAACCCCTGAATCTACACCCGATGAAAGATATGCGTCTTGCTGATCCAAAATGTTTGCGAATGAAGTTCGTGAGTAAACATGGGAATCTCCCATCCAAATCAGAACTGTTGAAGAGATTCAGCGTGTTTGGGAAAATAGATGCTTCAAGAACTGATGTAAACCCAGGGGAAAGCTCTGCGAAAGTAGTATTTCTGCAAAGCATAGACGCAGTGACGGCTTATCAATTTGCAAGGAGCAAAAAGTTTAAGCTAGGACGGTCTAAGGTAATGTATCGGCTCGACGCCTTCGAGAAAGTCAATGAAGTAAACAAAGTTCCTGTGACTCAGAAGGACAACGAAGTAAACAAAGTTCCTGTGGCTCAGAAGCCTCAAAACTCTGTTCCATCACCAAGATCGTGTCGCAAGAAACATGGTTCAGTAGAAAAAGAAGAGGGAAGAAGCAAGGCGAAGGTGAAATTTCAACTGGAGACTAACTGATGAAGACCATCATCTCAATAGTTATGTGCATAGCTTATGTCTCTCTCATGGAAATCCCCTTGTAAAGTAGCTAAGGTCTTTTACCTAACGTAGAACTTGCAGGTTTTTTTTGGTATTGAAGCTTTGTATAATCTTGGCTTGTTTCGTATAAGAGATGACATAGTTTGCACATAAATTTATTAAAAAAAACAGCTCTGACGATGAAATGGGACTATCGACTAGATTTCCAGTTTTCTGCTTTAAAGTATTTTTCTGTTTAGAGATTAGGGATCCCAACGAAGAAGTAGAAAGAACAAGTTGAAAGGAAGCTGTGAATCTGTCAAGTCTAAAAGCAAAAGTTTACAGTGCCAAAAGCAAAAGTCTACAGTAAGACGGGACGCTTCCATGTATGGTCTTCTTGATGGTTATTGGATTCACTAGGTCGTTTGCACTCGCATTTCTTGCAAACAGTGTTTCTTCTATAGTTCAAGAAGTCGCATCTGCAGAAGATCACACATAAAGACAAAGGAAGAAGAGTTTGGTTAATGATATGAAAATAACAAGTTAGTAAACTAGAGATCGGGAAAGAGAGACGCACGAGGGACATTCCCATTCTCCAGGCTCCAGTTGCCTCTTGGGACGTCGTTCCCGACACTGTTTACACTGTTTGTTGCTAGAAAAGTTCATGAATCCACACCTGGAAAATATACAAAAAGTGGTATGATCAATACAAGAGCAATCTAGCAAACACAAAAGCACTTTAGAAGATAAGATTCCTTCCACTCTTTAGAAGACAGATAATAAACACAAAGAGATAGACGCAAAGTAGATAATCTAGAATCCAGAGGCAGGTAAGGGAAACTAACCCAGAGCAGTTCCAGTCTCCTTTTTTCATTTCAACATTCTCCATTGAAGTTCTCTTTGGTCCCTTTGCTTTGCATTTCAGACAGCTCTGGTTTCTTGAGAAGTTTGAGAAATTGCACCTATGGAATCAGCAAGGAATAACAAATGAAGGTATAGCATAAAAGTCTAATACTTTTGATTCGGGTGATTTTCAGATATACACTTACTCAGGACATAACCAGTCTCCTTCCTTGACAACAGCAGCAACAGATCGTCTGTCAGCGACTTCATTGCACTCTCGGCATCTTTCATTTCGGGCAAAGTTTAAAAAGTCGCATCTGTAGAGGAACACAGAGGCAGAAAAACACAAAGTCTAAGTAAGAAATCTACAGAAAAAAACACCAATTTCTCAAAGTAATAAGTTTTAAACCTCTTCATCCAAAGAAGCTGACAACATTAGTGGATAGATCTTCAAGGTTCAGTAAATCTTTGCAACCACAGATAGGAAACTAATATTTGATTCAAGAGATATGAAAGGGTTTGTCCAGTTTCTCTAGAGGCATGAAAAAAAGCTAAAATCATTCGCAAAATCACTTACTTAGGACAAGCCCAATCTGCATTGTAATGAGACCAAACACGTTGAGAAGGCTCATCGTTCCTCCTAGATTTAAAAACTCTCTCCTTCGGAGGCAAAGATTCCTTGGCAGCAGGTTTTGGCAAGACAAGGTTTAGAGGCTTCTCACTGAACTCAACCAACTCTAAAAGAAGTCTTCTTGCAGACTCATGAACAAGTTCCCTACCTGGTGGAATCTTTCCTCGAGAGATAACAACCGAATCAAGCGCATTAAACAAGAGTAAACGCATGACATCAACTGTTCGAGCATCAGCTTCTGTTTCCTTAAGTATCACATAAGCTCTATCACACGAGCCACGAAGCTCACAAGAACCACAAACCTAAAAACAAAAGAAGAAAACATTTCTTATGGTTAAGATCTCCCTGTTTCAAGGTTTTTCAACAATCCTTAAGCTGATGCAACATAAAGTGTACATACATCTCCTTCGTCTAATCGAACATGAGCTCGAATCCTTTTGGAGGAATTAACAGTTTTTCGAAAGAGATTAGGGCATCCACGCTCCACGAGAGCTTGTATATCTCCCGATGATAAGGATCTGCATAAGAAGAGGAGTAACATAAGTAATATGAAAAATTGAAGATGAGAAATTAAATTTCAGGAATTTATACCTGAGGATGTCGTATCGATCGCGAGCGAAGCTGAGACAAGCATCCTTGACTACGTTCATTTCTTGGTAAACCGTATCATCTTCGATGTTTTTGGTGAAATATCCCTTCGTCTTCAAGCGATCTACGAAGCTTATCCACTCTGGCCATGGATGTGGAGACGGAGACGGAGACGGAAAATCTGAATTCACGGTGGATGTTGCGGCGGTGGCGGCTTCACTGGAGAAGCATCGGAAGCGAAGAGAAACAGAGGGGAAACGATTGAAAGAGATTGGAAGCGAGGGTTTTTGAGGTCGGAATATGGAATTTCCGACAAGGAAGATTCTGGAAGACGACATTTTCTTCTCTCCGGTAAGATCTCACCAGAGAGTGAGAGGTTTTAGGAGGGGTTTTGGCCGGTGAATGAGTGGATAAAAGAGAAAGCTTGCGAGTTTTGATTATTTGCACTTTGACCACCTGTTTATATAAGGCCTTCTTTTATTACCCTTTTAGTTAAAAGCTTACAGTCTCACACCTGAAATACGGACATGCCTCTAATTTTTTTCTGTCATTTACACCACTAACCATAGTCCTCCATATGTAAAATAAATCCAACCATAAACCAGATATGTATAAATCTCGGAAATCTATGGATATTTATTTTAAGATGTAATTTTTTATCACGACTAGCTCATTGGTAAATCAAGTGACATGGAATTAACCCTAAAAACAAAACAAAATTAAGCAAACCAAAAACAATTGTTACCATGGATTTAGACATTTAGTAACAGGAAACAAAAAAGGAACGGAGAAAAAAATAGAAGCACATCATATTCATCATCTCCGACATAATACAGTTTCCCCTCTCATCATATACCTAAATTGATTTTAAAGAAGTGAAAAAATGAATTAATTTTGTTTGTAGAAATAATAACCACTAAAGAAGTTAAGAAAAGGCTCGTAATACTTTAGTGGTTATTATTTCTACATCTACTCCTGGTTATTAACGGTTAATTGGGATTGGGATCCATCTACAACAAATTATAATGAGGAGAAGTTCCTGCAAGGATACTCTTAGTGTGCTTTAAAGCTCAGTGTGATGGATCTGCTGAAAAGAAAAGTGTAAAGATGTTTTACAACTCTGAAAACAATGAGAAAAGGTATATTTCCTTGAGCAGCAAGTTTTCTGAATCAAAATGATAAGAAACCTCTAACATTAAGAAAGACTAATATATCGCTGCTGCTTCTATTTTGTGGCAAGAGAGGAGTGTCACTTCACTAGCTTTCGGCATCACAGGAAGAAGAACAACGCATACATATTAGGTATCTTTAAAAACAGATTGTGACCAACTTTAATGATATAATTATATCGTTAACTAAGTTACTTTCACATTACCACATCAAAAGGAAAAGGAAAAAGAAAGAAATTGTCAGATGAACTGGATCTTGCACTCTGATGAAAGCCTGGGAAGAGCTAGCAGATTAGCTCGCAAGAACATACTGCTCTTATCTGCTTCAACACCAACTTTCACGGTTTCAAGACATTCCAACTTGCCCAAGAAATGTCTCATCTGTTTCAGCTCTTGAAAAGAACCTCCATACTCTGAAATCTTTAGCATCTTCACTTGACATGTCCATAAACAACATAACTCCTCTTCCTCATTCACAAATTTCCTTTGCTTCTTAGGGATGCAAGCGCATGCATCTCCACATCTATTTGTTACTCTGTGGACAAGACCCTGAAATGGGAGACCAATTTGACATATATAATGGGCAACACTAACAACAACATAAAAGAATCTCTTAGTGAAAGGAAATTGATAATAATATTGACCTTGATGACCAAAGTGTGTAGATTGGGACAACTCTTGAGCAAAAGTGGCATTACTTGCCAACCTTTTTCCTTGTGGCTCTCGATAGATAAATTAAGGAGGTTGTTGAACACCGGCATGGATTTACAACAGAAATGAAACGCCTGATTTATATATGATCATCACAACCAAAAATCCATAAAACATAAGTGACCAAAAAAGAAAAAGATCTATAGAAGAAGAAGATGAAGAAAAAACTGACCTCAAGGGAATCAGGAGAGAGGTGAAGGGTGGTAATGTTGCTTATGCCCTCAACTAGACCTGTAACATCGCCAAATATATCCGGCTTTGGTTTAACGAAATAATCATCATCCTCGTCATCATCATAATGATAATCATAATCATCGTCATCAACAACATCATCAACATCAATATCAATATCAGCATCATCACAATCATCATCAGAATAATCGTAATCGTTAGTTGATACCCATAACTTGAGGTTCAGCCTGGCTTCGACAAGCAAATCCAAACCGCGAAACTCATGATTTCCAAAGACGTGAGTGGAATAGTCAAGGTACACAAGACTAGGTGCATCGAAAAGCATGCAGTCGTAATGCTCTCGAGCATCCGGAAGATGGACAAAGGCCACAAGCCGCTTGATGGATGCACTTTCCACGTACGCACCGCAACAAGGCCAATGCTGGTACGAATCATCATCAGTTACGAATAGTTCTTCCAGGACAGGGCAGCCATCGAGGAGCTGGCAATACTTGTCATAACCAAAATCAACTGATAAGAGAGAGAGTGATTTGAGCGCTGGGAAAAACACATCCTCGGCTGCAAGAATAAATCTATGGCATAGTGTGAGCTTGACCAGTGTGTTGCTCGTTAACAACTTTGTTTCCATATAAACACTAGTAATGGGGATGGCGTGCAAGTGTAGCTCCAACAAACCGCATTCCAATGCAGTTTGAACCCAACATTTGAGACAAGAATACACAAAATAGGAGACATCGTAAGGGCCAGGTCTAACCGGTACATGACAAAGAGAGAGTTTCTTGATGGTGGGAGAATTGCTTAGCAGAGCACATATTTTGTCTACGAATTCTAAGAAGCGGCTTGTTGCTTCTTCTTCCTTGGGATACGAAACAACCATCGAGTCATCGAAACAAAGGGTGTCTACAAGACTCAGCAGATTCCTCCACCTCTTGGACAGAATCGATGTCGAAGCAGCCACCTTTGTCGGAAGTGAAGACAGTATCTTTCCAAGAATCTCATCCGGCAATTCGCTTATCGAATCCATAGCCAACAAATAATTGTACCTAACTATATACACTAAAACAACTCGATTAGGGTCACAAGTTCCTCCTGTTTTGCAACTAAACAATAGAGAAGCTATTGAATGTTTTTCAAGTTCATCAATGGAAAAACAATAACCGGCCCACAAAAACTTTAATCAGAATCATAGATGATCCTTCAAATTGAACGCGAGGGTTTTTGGAAGTAGACAAAAGGCAAACTTACGACGCAAGAGGAGACGAGGAAAGAGAAATTTTAATCCTAAGAGAATCCTAAACCATGAGAGTCGCCTAGGTTTAATAATGTTGACCCGCTTTGGTTTTTCTTAAATTTTAAAATCTAATTTTAGTTTTGTTGAATTAATCCGGTTGGGTTCGGTAGAAGTCAAAAGTTTAATTGAACCGGATGACCAATAAATTCGGTTTAGATCGGTTTATTTTGAATGGATCTAGTTTCCGGTTTAAAAAATATATTCGGTTTTGGATTTCATTTGCTAAGTACAGTATTATTAACTTTATGGTTTAAGAATATGATTAGGATGTAACAAGTGAGGTTTAAAATTTAATCAAGCGAGGTTTAATTTTAATTAAGATTCTACAGTATTTAAGTTAATCTAAATCAGTTTATATTAATCCAACTCGATTAAGTCCAACTATGTTTGGTTTGGTGGGTTTGTTTAGTATGGAAACATCTGAAGATTATCCGAACAAGCATCCGACGATTATCCGAACAAACACAACATCTTCTATTATTAATTTACAAAGAACAATTTAAAAAAAATATTTGTCTCATGTGTTATTTACAGGTATGCCATGTTATTTACAGGTATGCCATGTTGAAGTGTAACATTCAAAGAGTTTCTCAAAGTTTTATTACAAGTGGTCTCAAATTACTAGACTAATAATAGTTGTACCATTTTTAACCACTAAAACTATTTACATAATCTTATCTTCTATTTTAAGATATTTACATATAATACTATGTTTATATATATATATATATATATATATATATATATACATAATTCACACATATATATATATACTAATTGTCTTCTTATATTTTAGGTAACATATAATATATAATTCACATATATATATACCTATAATACTATTTTATATATATATACATAATTCACATATATGATACTATGTTTATATATATATATATATATATATTATTCACATATATTAACCCTCGAAGACTTATCTTCTATTTTAAGATATGCATAAAGTGTTTTCTTACACTAATATTCAGTATAATGACATTACAAATATATTTATCTTATTTATAACATATATGTATGTAGTTTGTTAGTGTAATCTATATGTATTAAACAAATCTCAAAAACATATACTTTACACACATCAGAGTCAAAAGGTCCATCTAATTTATTGAATTCCACAAAACAAAAGAATAAAGAAAAATATATTTACTGGAAAGACCCATTCAAATGAGGCCATCAAAATTAAGAACAATTGTCTCTAAAAATGAATACCTTTAGTTATATTCAACCAAGTTATTTTTTTTGCTTTGTTTTAATAATGCATGATTAGGGCATCCTTATATGCTTCTATTTATCAATTGATATTATTATTTAAATTTTATGGTTAAGTTTTATTTATCTATTTCTCACAACTAATTATATAATTTATAATAAATCTAATTAAATTTTTAAATATGATAATTTCTGGAAACAAATCAATAAAAAATAAGATAAATCTCATTCCACACAGGTTGCGGGTTACTACCTACTATTAGTTAATAAGTAGAGTTAATTATAGTAAGTAAAGTTTTAAGCCTTTACTATATATTCTCTTTCTTGAAGGAATTGTTTGGGGTTTTCTTAGTCATGCATTGCAACTTGAACAACGAAAGGATCCTAGCTTGTTCTAAAAGTAACTGGAGACGTTGGAGGCAACGACACTAAGTTCAACGGCTAGATGTGCCCACAATCTCTGTCCAAATGGAACAATCAATCAAGAATCAAATTAGAGCTTTCTATAAAACTAATCATCAAAGCGAAATCTATTAAAACCAAAGGAAAATTCTACATTCAACACTGAAAAAAGATTGAAATTCAACTCGTCTGTCTTCTCTATTATTCTAGGATCTCGTTTCATTGACTATAGTCTGGTGGATTTTCTTTTTGCGTTCCAATATCACTACTGAAATTCAAAATCTCTTTAATTTATTGTTTAAGGATGTTCTATTGCTACGTTTGATGAAGTAAATAATAAGATCGAAAGCGATGGATGGTCTCCTCTGACCAAGCTCTGAGTTTGATTGGTTAACAAAGCACTCGGGATCTCTAATGCATTTTGACGGCTCATCAAAAGATGAACCCAAACTTATTAGAAACTAGAGCCTTATTTTTTCCAAAAAAAAATAAATAAATTAATGTATGGTTTAAGATCGTCATTCCTCGTAAAATTTTGTAGTTATGGCAAATTGTTTTGTAGAGTTAATGACCTGATGTAAGTAATACTCTTATTATCAAAGCAACTGACGGTACAAGTTTTATGACTTTGTGACGAATTACCCAGCGCATGTAAGGAACGTTTAAAAATATATAATTAAGTAATAGGTAAATTATAACTAAAAATAATATAACATGATGACAAGCTCTAAATTTGAAAATGCTTTCTCGGAGATGTCTTTGTTGAATACCACTTTTGTGTCGAACAAAGAGGTGGTCATAACTACCCAAAAGAAAAGTCTTGCATTCTTGTCTTGTTTTTGGCTTTAATTGGGTTTATAAAGCTTGATGTGTCTTGGTTATGTTCTTAACTTTGATCGGGTTCAAGTTTGGGACCTTTAACTTCCCTACTCATAGAGCAAGTGATCAAGAGTTAGTGGACGATGATAAAGCAGATAATGAAGCAGATTGTTTTTGTTTAAATGTACAAAAATTGTACTTTTTAATTATAGTAGTAATATTAGGAGGGTGTATGAACTGAACATTTGAAGTGATTTAAAACAAAATAACAAATCCTATGTTATTCAAACATTTATTTAAAAACAATATTTATAATCCAGTGTTATTGGATATAAGATTTGTAAATGTCTCATATGTGGAATTGCAGAGAATTTCAAATCATATCATTACAACTTCTTTAAAATAATTCAATCATCTAAAATCTTAGTAAAATTCAAATCACTTCAAATATTTAGTTCAATACACCCCTTTTAGTAAAGTATTTTTTGCAATATGTGTGGAATTTTTTTTAATAAATCATTGTTAAAAAATTCGAGTATGTGAATATGAATGATTTGCTAGTAAAAATATACAAAAGATCATATTTTCAATAATAAATTTTATCTTCACTGTTTTTTTTTCTTACAAAGGGTTTACGGTATTGAGTTGTTTTACAAAGTTTTCAAAATTGATTTTTTTTTGTACTCGAAAGCAAATTCTGTGGAAATTAAAGCAGAAGTCTTGTGACCTTCACCGCAATATCCAGAACCTTCTCCATCAGTTTGAAGAGTACATCCTATGTGAGCACAAGTTTGCAGGTAATCTCTTGCTGATCACCGATAGTGCCGTGCATACGCATAATCAAAGAGTGTCGTGGCTGCTTGATCTGTCACTTATAAGAAAGCCATACTCTAAACCAATTCCCAAAAAGTCAAAAGATATCAAAGGTATGTTCTAAATTGATTCCCAAAAATTTAAAAGATATGCCCTTAAATGGATCCTACTTACCGGCGAAGCAGGAGGAGTTTGATCCTGTTGATCAAGACTCGCAACTACTTCCGCTGTCCACTGTACAAAAACATGAAAAAAAAAAGTAAAGACTTTGGACCGAAACCCTAAAATATGAATGGAGCCTAAAAGCGCAAAACTCTACACAATTTCGCTCAAACCTAAAAAGAAAAACCTTAAACTTTTGCCCAAAACTGAATCTTTTTCTGCCACCATTGTTGTGCGAAGGAACCAAAATCGAGAACCCCTGAGTGCAAACACTATTTCCGTAAATCCTGAACAATTCCGCAAACCTTAAACAATTCTACAAACCCTAAACAATTCCACACAAAACTGAAAAAAAAACTCCCAAAATCAAAGAAAAATTTACAGGCAAAACCCTAATTACCGGTGAAGGGGGATTAGCATTGACATTAACCTTCAGCACCATTCCTCTGGACCCCAAATCACTTCCGAAGTGAACCCCTGGTTCCGGTTTACTATCTGGTTCCTGATGCTTTTAATCATCCAATAAAGTCTAAAAGGTTAATCCCTGCATTGCATTATATTTCTGCTTCGTCATATATGCCAAAATGTTGTATGAGGACTGAGGAGACGCTTCTGTTTGTATAGATAAGTCTTTGACTGGTGACTTGAGAATCTTCGATTGGTCAAAAAGGGAATCGCTGAGGTTTGCGGTTAGTGGTTGCATTTTGGTTGTTTCGTATTCGACGAGAGTTGTTGTGTTTTGAATATTTTGATCGGAAATTCATGTGTTGTCACATACTCCGTGTGTGTTTTTTTTTACTGTGAAACTCCTGTGTTGGATTTTTGTCATTTGTTTCGACGCAAGAGTTTCAAATTGAATATTAAAGTTTTTCTTTATTTAGTAAGCTTTTTTTTCTCCTCCTCTCTGATGGCATTTGCATATTCTGATTCCATGATATTTTGGTTAACTTGTTTATCTTATTAACTGCTGATTTTTTTTTAAAATCTTTTTATGAATTCACTTGTTAAAAAATGTATCTTTCACAAGTATTTGCCCAAAAAATGTTTCATCTGTTTCCAGCTCTTGAAAAGAATCTCCATACTCTGAAATCTTTAGCATCTTCACTTGACATGTCCATAAACAACATAACTCCTCTTCCTCATTCACAATTTTTCTTTGCTTCTTAGGGATGCAAGCGCATGCATCTCCACATCTACTTGTTACTCTGTGGACAAGACCCTGAAACAGAAGACCATTTTGACATGTATAATGGGCAACACTAACAACAGAAATTAAAGAATCTCTTGGTGAAAGGAAACTGATAATAATATTACCTTGATGACCAAAGTGTGCAGATTGGGACAACTCTTGAGCAAAAGTGGCACTACTTGCCAACCTTTTTCGTTGTGGCTCTCGATAGATAAATTAAGGAGGTTGTTGAACACCGGCATGGATTTACAACAGAAATGAAACGCCTGATTTATATATGATCATCACAACCAAAAAACCATATATAAGTTGCTAGCTCCACAATCCAAAAAGGAAAAAGAGTCAATAGAAGCAGACCAGCAACTAGATATGTAACATTGCAAAATATGACCGCCTTTGGTTTATCAACAGCATAATAATTAGCAATCATCATCATCAATATCATCATCATCATCAACATCATCATCAGAATAACCATAACCGTTAGTCGACTCCCAAAACCTGAGACTCAGCCTGGCTTCCACAAGCAAATCCAAATCAACAATATCATACTGTTGGAAGACATATATAACTAGAATAGTCAAGGTAGACAAGACTTGGTGCATTGAAAAGCATGTAGTCATGATTTTCTTGAGAATCCAGAAGATTGACAAAAACCACAACTCGCTTGACGGATGCACAATCCACAACCGCACCGCAAATTGGCGAGTACGAATGATAATCTTCAGTTATGAACAATTCTTCCCGGACAGGGCAGCCATCGACGAGCCGACAATAGTTTTGATAATCAAGGAGATAAGTTGACAAAATAGAGACTGATTTGAGAACTGGTAAAAACACACGGTCTAATTCAGGACAATAGACATCGGACAGTGTGAGCTTCACCAGTGTGTTGCTCGTGAACAACTCTCTCACTATTTCAACACCATAGCGTGGCTTGGCGTGCATGTGTAGCTCCAGTAAGCCGCTGATCCATCGCAGTCCAAATCCAACGGTAGCACGAGAGTATTCATTGGCACCGGCCAGGTCTAGGAATATGAGACTAAGACAGTTTCTTCATCATGGGACCTTGTCTACGAAATCTAAGAAGCGATCTGAACCACTTCTTGCTTCTTCTTCGTTTGGGATATACAACCACTGACTCATCAAAGCAAAGGGTGTCTACAAGACCCAACAGATTCCTCCACCTCTTGGACAGAATCGATGTCGGGGAGCTTTTAAGAGTACCCAATCAATCAGGGAGCTTTTAAGATATAACCAATCGATCAGGGAGCTTTTAAGAGTACCTAAACTCTACACACTGAAAACAACTCGATTAGAGTCACAAGTTTCTCTTTTGAATGTTTTGAAAGTAAACGAAAGAGCCGTTCAAATCTTAAAACGAACAAGAAATCAAAGATGATCCTTTCAATCCAAGGCGAGAGTTATTTTTAGACTAAACAAAAAAAGCCCTTGCTTTGCTTGTCGATGAGGTTTAAGACACACAGAAAAAGAGAACGCACTACAAGAAAGATGTACATTTTTAGCTCACGATTAGCGCTATCATATCGATTTAATAGCGTTTCGATGAACGCTGTGATCCCCGGAACTATAATAGGGTGACCCCTATACAATAGCGTTTTAGGATTGTGCTATAATATGTACATTTATTATAGCGTTGAAATTGTGTTGTTATTGACGATATAGTAGCTCATTTTAGACGCTGTTCTATGTCGTCTAGTAGCACTATTTGCATGCTATAATATGGACTTTTGTAGCTCGGTTTTGTTGCTATAGACTAATCTCTTGTAGTTCTTTTTTTTGGCTACGGTATAACGTGTTATAGCTCTTTTTCTAGGCTATAGTATATTGTTTTATAATACTTTTCTCGGGCTATTGTATAACGTGTTCTAGTATTTTTTTTTTATTACGACCTGTAGTTTTGCAAAATTATTTTTAGAAACCTGTTTTCCAAAACTATAAAGAAACCAGCGTTTGCATTTAAAACACTCTTATTTTTATTAAACATCCAAACATGTCTTACACAAAACATCACAAGGACAAACATCATATTAAAAACAAGTCTTACAAAACATCAAGTCTTAAACATCATACCAAATGTCTTACAAAACGTGGTCTTAACATCATGGCTGCTTGAAGTGCTGAAGCAATTCTTTGAGTGAGAAGAGCTTGCCTAGCCTGGGAGAGAATCAATGCCATAAGTTGCAGTTTCAAGCAACAAACACACACAGTAACTGCAACAAACCAAAACCATATATTGATGTATAGGGAATCTGTGCTTACGTAATTCTCCAAAGTCATCAAGCAAAAGGTATAATTTCAGAATTGCACCAAAATCCAAATGAACAAATTACCTCAAAAAGATCTGATCATCTTGCAACCGGTTTTTGCAGCAGTTGTTGCCCTCTTCTGTTTTTGTCCAATATAAAACTCCACCAGATTTGATCTTGTATCCAAAACACGTTCCAATTGTTCTAGAGAAAAGTTTATTGTAACCAAAACCTGTTTTGATGAACTGTGCAAATAATAATCGTCCTAAGAGTGTTAAACAAAGTATTATTCATGTAAAGGACCAAGAAATCAAACCTGTAATGATGAGATGTAACTGAAACTGATTCAAGTCTCTCGTTTAGCTTAAACGTGGTCAAAATATTGCAATCATTCTTCTTTTCTGCAAAAAAAAAAAATTCAGAAAATTAATAAACTCTCAAGAACAGAGAGAAGGAATAAGAACTAAAACCAAAAGCTAATGAGATTAAGGAGAAGAAGAAACGTCAACTCTTTGCAGTCTCAAAAGCATCTTCACCAGATCACCTAATCCAATACACAAGCAAAATCAGAATCTAACTGAACACATAAGCAGACCGATCTCCAACAAAAGTGTTAAAGTGACCTGCATCTCATGGAAACAAAAGTAATAAGCATCCACGCTTCTGAAAACAAGTGAATGGGCTCGGCGATACTTATGATCAACTTTAAAGTTCAGGCCTGTGCTTACCTACAACAAAGAAACACTGGCGTTACCATTTCAGCTTTAGAGAGTCTTTCGGCAGAGTTTATTTCACCAAATATATAAAACAGCAGAACACTAACTCACCTTATGGTAATCTCCTACGGGAGATGCGTAAATGAGGAACGTGTACTCAGGTGCTGGAGCTGCTCCAAGGATAGCGCCACTCCCTATTAGCCGAGGCCTTGTATACAAAACTCCTTTACCCGGAGGAACCTAAAACACAAAAAAAAATTAAAGCCATAAAACCCGTGAGGAGCTTCTAGAGATGAGAGCAAACTATGATCAAGAATCATATCGATTGGAATAGAGATACACATTGGTCCATAGTCCATACCCATTTCTTGATGGCACGTACAGTTTGCTTAACTGCTTCGATGAATTGCTCCACAGAAGGTGGTGTCATACAAAGCCTATCAGCACATGTTTGCATACTAAGAGCGTTTTCGTCAGGCCGGAACAGCCTAACCTGGTCGTCTTCTGTCCTGTCAGCTTTGAGATCTTCAAATAGTCCCTACAAAGCCAAACCAATATCAAAAAAGTTTTTCTATCAAACCCTCATATATGTGTATAAACACTAAATCTCTAAGCTTTTGCTCGCTTATACACTGAAATCAAATAGCTTTAAACAATCTATGTATCACTACTTTGAATCCAGAGATTAAAAGCTTCTAACTAATGAATCCTGCCCTAATTAAACCCAAACGTCCTATAATGTTGTCGCAAGGGACTTTGAAGGAGTTGATGTTGAGTAGTTTATTCTCTGCAAGCTACTAAAAAGATCTGTTAGGCGATCATTTAAGAATAAATCTCGCACTTGAATCAACTGCCAACGCTTTGTGTTCAACATCAACAAAGAAAAATGAAAATAATGCATATTATTAGGCTATTAGCGAGAAATACAACAACTGGCCATCATAATGAAGGTTTTAAGAATTTGCCTTAGGCGAATATTGGGTGGTCTGTCTCGAAATCCTCGGTATAAGTTTCGGTTTGAATAATTTAAGAATCCCAATGTCAAAAGCCCACAAAGTGTTGAGAACCATACCTCTTGAACAGGATCGAAGAAAGCTCATGAGAGGAAACTCGTCATAGCCGTCCAGGAACCCTAACCCAAAATCTACAGTTAACCCTAATCAGCTCTTGAGAATAGGAGAGGCGAAAAATGGGGTGAGTTGTTTCAATACCCTTTATGGAGGATGGAGGTGGAAGCGGCGGCGGCGAATTGAGAGAGGTGGGTTCGATCGGAGATGAGTTAGGGTTTAGGTTAGCTGGGTCGGGGGGAACGGGAGGTGGAGAAGGAGGCTGAGAAGAAGGCGAGGAAGGAGGATGTGGTGAGATGGTTCAGCCATAACGCCAGAGACGGTGGAGGAGGAAATCGGAGACGGAGGGACAACGAGCTGCTTTCTCGAAAGAGAATTTTTTTTTTCCAAAGAACTTGTTTTTGTTCTTCTCCGAACAATATAAAAAGAAGAGTCATAATTAGGATACTTAGTATTTTTTTCTCTTTTTGCCTAAGTACTGGCGCTCATCACAGAATTTAGGTTCCAAATGTTAATTTTTTGTTCCCGCTTAATGAAATTTCGGTATAACGTGTTTAAAATGCTATAATAGAATATCCAAATCCGAAATATCCTCTTTAATAGCAGTTATAGAAATCATGCTATGTTAATGTGCTATCAATACTCGTTTTTCTTGTAGTGACGCAAAGCGTTTTTATAACACAAAAAAAAACAAAAATTACACGAAAAACCTTATTTTATTCCTCTTATTTGGAAACCGAAGTTTAATGTTTTTTATTTTTTTTGGTCAAGACAATGTTTTTAAATTAATACTTGTTGTAGACAATGTATATGTATATTGTATGTGAGGTGAGATATCTTTTCTTATACGTGCATATATGTATTTGTTATATTAAGTAGAGAGAGATGAGAGAGAGAGACAGAGAGTAAAGATTCGTATAGAAAAGAAGGAGGAAGACCTGCTTTCACTCTTATTATTCTCCTTATGTTTACAAGTGATGCACTTATTTATAGCGCAACTAAGTCGGTAACTTAACCGACATAATACATAAATTATTATATTAATGTAAAATGGATAATCATTATTCTTTTCTAACACTCACTTTTGATTATTTATTATATAATATATTCTTGAAAGGATGAACATAATCTTATTTATAATCTGTTTTTCAGATTGATAAACATTTCTTTTGGATATATGATTCCTCGACTTTGATATTATCTTTCGGTATTATGGATATCTTTTGCGTATTCTTTGATGTTTTAATAAAAACCTCATCATAGAAAAATTTAATGGGATAAAAACTATGGTAAGGAAAAAAATGCATCTACCCGCATTATTATACTTCTTCTGGAAGTATTCATATTTAGATGTTTTATCCTTTTTGCGTTTTTTTTGCTGCCTCGTTAAAAATCTTGTTTTGAAAAAATCTGATGGGATAAAAACTATCGCAAGCAAAAAAGAGTGCAGCCACGCATATAATCACATTTCTCCCCTGGAAGCATCATCTTCAAGAGATGCATTCCAATGATATATACAATCTTTTAGGGAATTTTTATAAGTAGAGCCTTAGTGAACAAACAAACTCGTATAATTTCTCAGGTCATTGGACTTCTGGGCCATAGTTCGAGTTGGTTATGCTCTCTAATTTCAAACTCTTATTTTAACCATTGTAATTCGAATACTTCATACATCGTTGATCCTTCTGGGATTTTTATCAATATATTACTGAATGTGATTACATGCATGACCGAATAACATCAATTTCCGGTCTTTGAGAAAAATTTTATGCCACAAACCGAGTTTTATATCTTGTGACTTTGTTATCTCATTATTTTCGAATAAAGATCCATTTGGTCTCGAATGACATTACATCTTCAGGTGTAATAATCATAAGTCTAAAGACATTATCTTTTGCTAATTCTTCAGGAATCCTTTCATTTTATTCTCTAATTTTTTTTCTCTTCAGGAGAATTTTAGATTTCGTTAGCCTCCCCCCTTTTTTTTTAATTGAACCATACGTTTACTTTACTCCGATAAATTTTGTTCTTCAGGAACATTAATATTTGTGGAGCACTTCCAAGTTTTACGAACTTCAAGTTCGAAATATTTTGTAAGGAGGATTATATAGCAATTTCTTTAGAAATGTTTAAATATGAGTTTTTCTATATGTTAGATCCTGCTGAAATCTTTCGAGATAAGATGTTTAATTGGGATACTTGCAAAACAAAATAAACAAAGTTTTCCTAAAAAGCATCATATGTTAGGACTAGATCAATGATCACTTTATTTGATCTATCTATTGGTTAATTTTAACTAAAACTATTAAACCCCATGCAACATATATTCATCAAGTAGAATTCCCAGGAACATAATTATGATATCATTAATCCTTCAAGGATGCAATTTAAGTTGCTCATTTTCTGCCAGACTTGATATTACTTTTGATATTTGAACTGCTGGTCCAAAAATTTCTCATTTTTCATATGAGCTTAGCATTGACTTGATTGCCTCTTTTCACTTTTTGGCCAATATTTTACACTCATCCACATAGGTAGATTTATGATCCTCATTTATATCAAATCGTGTGCTATCTTATTTATTGTCGACAATTGTTTTGTCTTTGGTTCCACTTTTTCGTAATAACATGGTTAATCGAGATCTCTTTATCAATGATATCATTCATGTACATGATTTTATAATTGACCATATCAACAGATCTCTTCAGGAGAGTCATCCTTTTTTCAATATGTATTTGCTCCTTTCTTTTTGGAACCAAAGTAGTATATCACGCTTTTTACGTGCCATATACTCTGTATTGATAAATCGTCATTCAATGACATTTTCTTGGAGCATTTCGAGCTAGAATTGAGATTTTTTTCATTGTATGTCTGGCATTTACATATGAATTATCCTTTGAACTTCTGTTGATATGGTTAATGAAATCTCATTCATTAGCTCTTCAATACCAAAACATGGAGAAATTTCACCATTGTTGATCTTGCAATCTTCAGAATCGCTTTATAAATTATCCATAAAACCCATTTTAAGTGTGAACATAATCTTCAGGATGTTTCACTACTTTGATATGGATTCTTTAATTCTCCCTCTCGAGATGATGATACTTCAAGTTCATCAATCTCAGACTGAATCCAAATTTAGGACCAAAACATATCTAAATAACCCATCTTTTAGTCTTGTATTATGCATCAAATCCTTTAGTGGACTCTTAATATTTTCTTTGAGATGATGGCTTTACTTGCCCATTCATCTTAAACTGATATTTGGTTTTAGATCTATTATATAATTTGGGGGACTTTTAAAGAAATCCAATCATTATATCTAATAATCGTTTAACCAAAAATGGTGATTCATCTCTTATGATGGTCTTATTTTTTTTATCAAGATATGCTATCTGTGAAAAACTTCGTGTTTTTTTTTTCACATAAATTCTCAATACCATTATTACACCAAGATGACTTAAACTGGTTATATTATATACTAGTAAAATTCAAGTTTATCATCTTAAAAATGTTGCCATCTTTATGCATGTCTTCATCATGTACTTTTCTTAAACATTTCGCTCTGCTGGAGTGTTTTGTTCTTTTAGAACATCTAGCTCTTCTAGAGCTTCTAACTCTTCTAGAGTTTTTAATTCATGAAACTTCCGCAGTTTCTAATTTCCGGAGTTTTTTTTAACTCTTCTGGAGTTTTTTAACTTTTGTAAAACTTTTAGAACTGTTTAGCTCTTCTGGAGCTTTTAGTTTTCAAAGCTTTTTAGTTTTGGAGCAACTAGTTCTTCTTATGCTCAAATTATTTTAAAATTATAATAGTTCTTCTAGAACTCATATATTTAATTAAAAAATAAATCAAATAATTAAACATATTAACAATCAAACGATAATAAGCATAAATTTAAATAACTACAATTAAAAGAATCATCTTCTGGATGAAAATTATGTGATTCTTTTAGAATGTTTTAATATGTTTTCTGGACATTTTTATTTATAAAGTTCTTTGGAAACTTTTACAAATATGTCTTTGGAACAATATTTGTGATTCTTTCATATAAATAAAAAATGTAATATAATTTAAATAAATAAAAAACAGAATTTGAGCAATAGAGAAAGCAAGCATTCCATATAGTAAACGATAATAAACAAATATTAAAGAACAATAATTAAAATTAATATTTATCTTCTGGATGAAAGTTATTAAACAGTTCTTCAAAACGCTGTCATATATATCTTCTGGATATATATATATTATATATATATATATATATATAGTTTTTCTCGAATTTTTTCATATATGTCTTCTGGACATTATTTTTATAAACGATTTTTCTAGAACCTTTCATAAATGTCTTCGGGACATTTATTATATGGAGATCGTGATCTGAGGAGACAACTACCATATGATCATAAGCAAAGCCAATCATATATCTGATCTAAGGAGACATAGTCTACCATAACGATCAGTTCGGAGAAGACATTGCCGATCATTCCGATCATATTATATAAACATAAACGGATCTAATATAATTTAAACCTTATTTTTCTGATAAAAAATCAGATCTCACCTTTTTGATATTAGATCGGATTGCGTGATGATTGCACGTTATAAATTATAATATATATGTATATGTATATTGTATGTGAGGTGAGATATCTTTTCTTATATGTGCATATGTATTTGTTATATTAAGTAGAGAGAGATGAGAGAGAGTAAAGAATCGTATAGAAAAGAAGGAGAAAGACCTGCTTTCACTCTTACTATTCTCCTTATGTTTACAAGTGATGCACTTATTTATAGTGCAACTAAGTCGGTAACTTAACCGACATAATACATAAATTATTACATTAATGTAAAATGGATAATCATTATCCTTTTCTAACAATACTTGCCTTTTTCAGTTTCAATATTTCGCAATTTTGATAGCTTCTTGTTCATCCAATTTCGGACCAAAAAAATATAAAAAAATTGTTCATCCAATTGTGTTGAAACGTTCTTTTTGATACTACTATTTACACGGAGTTAACGGAGTTAGAGAAAACAAGAAACAAAGTTGAAACTTTCTGTCAATAGTTTCAGCATTCCAAATTAATTGCTCTATCTCTCTATCTTCCAGGTGGGACTGTTCAACCGAAACCTCCATTTTTAGTCAAAATCAAAGAGTTCTTCAAGTTGCTCATCGGTCCACTGTGGAACTAAGCTGGAAGACGCCATGGGCTGAGATTTGTTGACCTTAGATCCACATGTAACATCATCACAGTTCCCTATTGCACTCTCTAGCTCACCACTCAGCGGTTCACGACTTCTACTGATCTTTTTCACCGGTCTAAAGTCATCGGCCGTACCGGTTCCACTAGCTACATCTTCTTGCAGTTGCTGCTCTTGAGTAATTGAGGTTGTCCTGTTTGCTGCGATTTCTGTTTGGCTGATTGAAGCATGCTTTCCCAAGAGGGTCTTCTCCATTCTAACTTCACACTGGTTTTTGGTCGCACCTTTTAACCAGGTGTTGCTGCTTCCTTCTGCTGAATCCATTTCTTCCATTTCTACATCACCGAGTGCTTCACTGCTTTCTCTTGCATTTTTTCTGAGACTGTTCATGATTTCTTGAGTAGTTACTTGCTCCGTAGGGAACACTTTGGGTTGCATTTGAAAATCTTCCTCATTTTCTGTTAGATATATCATCATACAAGACCAAGTTAAGTGTTTGAGTTTCTCGATCAAACTAAGGAAGAAACTCGAAAGAAAATTTGCATCTTTCCTACCATTCACTGTAACAGGATTCTTGGCACTCGTTTCAGAATGGCTATGCCTTGGTACAACAGGAGTATCCTTTGTGATAACCTGTAAATGAAACTCTCCAGCTTAAAACAAAAAAAATAATCTTCATCTATTTCAATGTATATAAATAGGCGCAATTTGATATAATAAGAAAAACTACCTTGGTGATGTTCTTCAGCGTTATATTAAGATAGCGTGACGACCGTGAGGGTGAACAGACTCCAACCTGCAAAACACTATGTCTCAGCTCATCCCCATTGATTTTCAAGTAGCAACATCAAGACCATGAGATGATTGTTTTATCCTCTTGAAGGAAAACAGCAAACCTTATTAAGTATCACCACTGCACCAACTCGTATATCGCTTCCAAACTCACTCTCTGAAATAACTTTCCTGTGCACACTGGCATCGATTGTTCCAGTGGGATCCTACAAGCAATACACATAGATTTGAGGTACATGAAAAATAGTGCGTGACAAAAAAAACAAAAGGTGGAAACCATTCACATTGTTAAGTTGTATCTGTTATGTTTTGGTTTTTTACCTTAAGAGTCACCATGACATCACCTAGACCATTTGGAGTGCAAGTTTTGACGATTGCCACGACCTATAAATGACAACCGCAAACCAAGTATGTCACTACGAGACCTTTTTTCACTTTATTGGTTACTGAGATAGAGCATTCATGTAAAGCATTATGAAGATAGAGCATTAGCAAGTGGCTTAACCACATATCCAGATAACTTGTGGCAAAACAGTAACAAATAAGGAGAAGACATTATTCCACAATATTCCTCCTCTCTCCACAAGCACAAAACAAAAGTCAACCACACACCAGCAGACTAAACTATTATAGGATGCATATTTCCATTATACTCTAACCAGAAACTAAGAGCAAGGTCATTGCATCTCTTGATAAATTGAGTAGCTTGTTCATACCTGATCGACCTTACACCAACTGCCACATCCGCTCTTAATCTCGCTCACTGGTGTCCCAATAGCATTTTCACCATTGCTCAACAAACCTACCAAAAGATTTGAAAACGAAAAACCTAAGAACACAAAGGGATTTTTCAAATATTCGCATCACAAACTACTAATGTCAAGGCTTTACCTTCACTTCGAATGTAATCAACAGCAGAGACCCAAGGGTCCTCAGAAAAATCCTTATCTTCCCAATCAGGCTCTTCCACAGCCTTACGTATGAACTCTTGAGTTGAAATTGGTTCACCATGCTCATTAAACGATCCAGGATCTTTATTCATCTTTCTGCGGATTGCAACTTGAACAGTTCCGGCAGGTCCTGGAACTAAGTTTCGAGAATAACTATCCTCAAGAAGATGATCCGGCGAGGAGCAGCGGCGAAGAGTCCGACGATGATTTGTGTTGCTATCAAAACCTTCCTTTGGATTCTGTTGCTGCACCGGCGTTTGCAGAGACTTCGATGGAGATTTGCGTTTGCAAGGACGGAGAAAAGTCGGAAGCTCAGAATCATCGAGGTCAAGAGCTTCCCATTGCTCTACTTCTTCTTGGGAATTTATCTCTCTCATCACACAAACATTTAGGAAGAAGATTCATCCACGCATACCCTCTTGTTACCAAGTTTTACACCAGAAGAAACTCCACACTTTCCTGTGATTTATATCAATCATAGAATCATGAGAAGTCTCGTTTCAATCCCAAATCATAGCAACTCACTTGATACCCATATATACGCACAAATGCATAAACAAGGAAATCATCATCAAAAATACATTATGAAAATGCATCAAAATCGATTGATCAATTTGCTCTACAAAACTTCAGAGAAAATTTAATTCAAGGCCAAAAAATCACTAAACAATACTAGCGTCTGTACATTTTTTCCGATTATTTCTAACGAGCTGATCAACATAACAAGAAACAAACCCCAAATTCAGTGAGCACTATAGCAATCGCATTAGCGAATAAGTGAAATTCAGTTTGCGGATAAAACTAAGAATATAACCATACCCAGATTAACGACTCACCGTCGTTGAAGGTGAATTAGCTACAGCGACAAAAACGACGGCGACGACGAGGCGGCAAAGCGAGGCGATGAGAGTGAAAGCGGTTTTGATTCTATTCGTATGTTATTCGAAATTTTTATTCGGAAGTGTAATTTTGTCATTATTTATTGGGCCTATTTAGGGTAAGAAACGGGCCTTATTATCTTAATCCGTTACCTTAATTCGTTTGAAATGCTACTCATTAAGGTGTGTGATAAAAAGTAGTAAAAAACGAAAGATAATTTCCAATCCTTTTGCGTTTAAAAAAAAAAAATTTCCAATCCTTTTTTTTTTGCCTTCTAAATATTAAATTAACTTGAAGAACTTTTACATAGTCAGAGTGTAAGAAGTTCGAAATTACATTGGGAACTAAATTATAATAGAAAAAAATAAATATTCCGTGGGATTTCTACCTTAGCCAACGCATCTCCAGATTGATTTAGAAGTCTTGGACTCCAGATGAAAGTAGCTTCCTCGAATCGGGTACTCCAATCCCACACATCCCGAATCTAATTAAGTACCCCAAAATTTAGTGATTTCCGGTTTACCAAATTAACCAGCTCTTGGCAATCACCTTCAAAAACAACTTTACGATATCCTCTGCACCAGCAATTTTGCATCGCAATAATCAATGATTGAAATTCTGCTTCCAGAGCACTAGTGGCATTATTACTCTCTGCTTGACCTGCGCCTTTGTAGACTCCATTTTCATCGCGGATTACCCATCCTGTTTTTGCAGTTTGTCTTGTAGTAACATAAGATCCATCGTAATTGCATTTAATTTTACCTCTGTCTGGTCTTCCAATCTTTTTTTATGGGATCATAAAAGCTCATAAACTTACATTTTAAATCAAATTTTACAAATATATAAAATATATAATTAATCTCTATTTCTTTTTCACTTTCAGATATCATTTAATCTTAAGTCCACTCATTTTCTTTTGGAAAGCAGTCCACTATCTATTATTTGATGCAAAAGAGTCATTGATTTGTTATTTTTCTCTACTTTTTCTCAACTAAAAATTATTGATGGTTAATAAGTTACAATAATTTTGATTTTATTATTGAATATAACGAAGCCCAAGGACTAAGGCCAAAGCCCATCTCTAATTTTATTTGTATTCTCTCTATGAAAACGCTCAATGGTCTCCTTGTGAACCACAAAATCAAGCTTAGCGGAGAAATCTGAGGAAACATTTGTCTAGGTTAAAAATCGTGAAACTGATCGATGCATCGAAGACGAAAATCCCAACAACAGTAGATCAAGGAGCTTCTCTAGAACCAGACTCGCCGTTGAAGGCCATTGAAATCTCTCAAACTCCTCTCTCTACAGTCTATCGTCTCCTTCCCTCGTCCCCTTTTTGAGTTTTCCGACGACTTCTCCTCCTAATTAATGGCGACACCTTACAGTAAATTTTCCTCTTTTTAACATCTATTCGTCTTTTGTCTGAAATCACTCACATGGAATCTTTTTTCGTCTTTGGATTTGATAAATAATATCGGATCATATTACCTTCGAAATTATAAATTTTTGCTGGCCCTCTTCAGGAAATTAATCAGGATTTTTTTTTTTAATAAATCGAGTACATTTTTTTTATTGTTGGAGAAATTATAATAAAAAGGCGGTGTCTCTTCATTGTCTTGAAGTTAGTGTTCTGAATATTGTTTTTGATCATCTGTTATATAATTGCAACAGAGGAAGAGAGAGTTATCCAAAAGAGCTATTTGAAGGAGAATTCGAGTGATTTGACTGTTGAGGCCATAATGCTTGACTCCAAAGATTCTGATCCCGACAAAGAAGAACGTCCTGAGGTATGTTCCATGTTTCTGATATAACTTGTTTAGAATCTAAGGAAATTGAGGGCTGTGATTGGTTCTAAGTGGTGGATTCTCTTTGTTATAGTGATTTGAGCTTAGGAACATGTGACATACTGTTATGTGAAACGTCTTTTACAATTGCTACATGAATCTTTGGCTTGATGAGTTTCTTGGTTATAGGTACTATCTTTGATCCCACCATATGAAGGGAAAACGGTGCTGGAACTTGGAGCTGGGATCGGTCATTTCACTGGTGAACTGGCTCAAAAGGCTGGTGAAGTTATCGCCCTTGACTTCATCGAAAGCGCGATTAAGAAGGTTTTTAATTACTACTTTGGTAGATGTTGTTATGTTGAGAAGTTTAATGTTTTTTTTTTGGTTTTACCATATTTCTTCTTTTGGTGATGCTGTTCTTTGCAGAATGCAAGTGTCAATGGACATTATAAGAACGTTAAGTTTATGTGTGCGGATGTGAGATCACCGGACCTGAAAATCACAGATGCATCCATCGACTTGATTTTCTCAAATTGGTTGCTCATGTATCTGTCTGATAAAGAGGTGAAAATCTGTTTTCTTTTCGTGTACTCAACTTTTGACGTGTAAAGAGAAGAAAAGTCTAATCTTTTCGATTGATGTAGGTGGAACTTTTTTCAAAAAGGATGCTTGGATGGATAAAGCCAGGGGGTTACATTTTCTTTCGAGAATCTTGCTTCCATCAATCCGGAGACAGCAAGCGGAAATCAAACCCCACCCATTACCGTGAACAAAAATTCTATACAAAGGTTCAATATTTTGACTGGTCTTTGGTTTATAGCAATCAAATGCATCTTATCTTTCTGTGACAATAATACCGTATTTAAAGCTGAACTCTCGATCCAGTAGAATGTATGAAAGATGACACAACGGGATTAATTTCATCTTCTATGTGACCTGAGATCTAAATGTTTATATTATGCACAACTGTGAGATGTAGCCACATGGAGGCTCTCTCGCATATGCTATATATCATGTTTGATAAGGCTTTTCAAAGTGTGTATACCAGTTCATGGATATGTTGTCACTTGGCTCACCACTCTCGCCACTCTTTCGAATCTAATGTGTTGGATGAGTTGAGTTTATTCTTTTAGATGTGCCAAAAATTAAAATGTATGGTGTAATGCAGATTTTCCAGGAATGCCAGACACGTGATGCTTCTGGAAATTCATTTGAGCTCTCAATGGTTGGTTGTAAACGCATTGGGGCGTATGTGAAGAACAAGAAAAATCAAAATCAGGTAACACAAATTTTTCTTTATCAGATTGTCTACTTCCCTTATCATTTGATGGTACCTTATTCATTGCAATGCTTGACAAGAGGTAAACTTTATTTATCTATGTAATTGCAGATTTGCTGGATTTGGCAAAAAGTCAGCTTGGAGAATGACAAGGACTTACAGCGTTCCTTGGACAATGTTCAATACAAGTCTAATGGAATCTTGCGCTTTGGGCAAGGATATGTGAACAGTCAACAAGAGAGTGTCCACCATGATCCCTTTTCCATTTTCAACCAAGTCCCTCTCTTTAGTACACAATGTACAGAAGCTTCCAGCCATGGTGAAGACGAGAGAAGAAAAAGAAGAAAATGGACCCCGGCAGATGATGCGTTGCTTATCAGTTCGTGGTTAAACACGAGCAAGGATCCTGTTGTAGGGAGTGAGCAAAAGTTAGGGGCTTATTGGAGGCGCATTGCAGCTTACTTTGCCGCTAGTTCTGGAGGACGAGAAATTAGGCAGCCAAGCCACTGCAAGCAACGGTGGCAGAAGATTAATGATCTTGTTTGTAAGTTCTGTGGTTCCTACGAGGCTGCAACAAGAGAAAAGGCAAGTGGACAGAATGATAATGATGTTTTGAAGCTGGCTCACGAAATCTTCTACAAGGACCATAAGAAAACATTTACGCTTGAACATGCTTGGAAGGAGCTACGAAATGACCAGAAATGGTGTAACCTCTCTACTTCTAAAACTGAAGGAAGCTCTAAAAAGAGAAGGTGTGATGTTGATGCACAATCCGCAAGCTCTCAAGCAGAGGAAACAAATACTGGTGAAGAGGATCTTGGTGTTAAGGCAGCTAAAGACAGAGGTAAAAGGCATTCGGTGGAGGGCAAGGCTCTAGCAGAGTTTCAGAGTACGTGGTCCATTAAGGAGAAGGAATTTGCTATGAAGGAAAGATTGTCAAAGATGAGTCTAATAGACAGTCTCATTGGAAAAAAAGAACCATTATCCGATTATGAAGAAGCTCTAAAGAAGAAGCTTATTACTGACATGTTGGCTAATTAGGGCTCTTAACTCTTTTTTTTTTTAACCGTTCAAGTTGTTCTTTTTTCGTATAGCTTAAGTGAATCTCTGAAGTTGTGTTCTTGGTGTTAAAGTTGTGTTATGTTTGTCTTTAATGCAAGGAGTTGGGTTTTTATTTGGATTGGTTGTACTCGCTTACTTTGGTCTTTGTTTGGGAACCGATAATCTGAATATGGTTTAGGTTCATGTTCAGTTTGTTTTTCATGTTCATGTTCACTTTGTTTCATGGTGAAGGGTTAAACATCAAACTTTGTTTTGTCATGTTCACTTCGTTTCTCTTTGTTTTTAAGAAGATTTGGATCATGTTTACTTTGTTTACAAGTAAAGTGTATGGTGAATGGTATTGTGTTTTCTATGAAGTATTGTGTTTGTGAATGTTTATTATTTGATGAATGGTTTTAATTGTGTTTGTTTGTGTTTCAGGTTTGGAAGTACATGGATGTCGGCACAAGGGAGTATCAGAAGGAAGAAAGACACAAAGGCACAAGGGAGTATCACAAGAAAGAAAGACACAAAGAAACAAGGGAGTATCACAAGGGTTTAGCACAAGACAAGAAATGAGACCATTTTTCTTTATTTTTTATTTTGGTCGATGGGTTGGGTTTTGTATATTTGCTAATATATAACCAAATCCACAAATGTTTGTATGTTTTGACACCATAAATGAATCATGCCTCTTCTTCTCTTTATATAGTTGGTAAAACGATTGTTATCATTTGTTATAAGTTTTTTTTCTCCATTCCTCTTTTTTCCTACAAATATTATTCTCTTTCTCAAATCCTCTTCATTCCTAAAATTTACCATCATATTATGGCTTCTTCTTCCAATAATAATTTGGATAGATCAATAGATGAAAATTTTGATCAACATTTTGATTAGTATTTGATCAAACATTCGAGAATCTATTCTTTGATTATGGTGCTCAACAAGAATCAAGCAAGCCAAGGAAAAAACGCTCTTTTATCGAAAGAGATCGTGAAAAAGGCCACAATGGTTAATGGAACGAATATTTCAGTGAAGGTGCAACAACTCGGCTAATATATTCCGACGATGTTTTATAATGAACAAGTCATTGTTCTTGCATATTGTTGATCGGCTTTCCAATGAAGTTTCTTATTTTTAGCAGAAGATAAATGCTCTCAGAAGGCCTGGTCTCTCTACACTTCAGAAGTGTACAACAGCAATTCATCTCTTGGCATATGGCATTGCGCTTGATACGGTTGACGAATACCTTCGGCTCGGTACAACTACCCCTCGTTTATGTTTGAAAATTTTTGTCCAAGGAATAATAATTCTCTTTGGCGATGAGTACCTTAGATGACCTACACCGAAGGATCTTCAACGACTACTTGATGTTGGAGAGCAACGAGGATTTCCCGGGATAGTAGGAAGCATCGATTGTATGCATTGGGAGTGGAAGAATTGCCCGACCACTTGGAAAGGGCAATATTCATGTGGTTCTGGAAAACCCATTATTGTTTTGGAGGCGGTGGATTCATAGATCTCTGGATATGACATCCATTTTTGGCCTTCCAGGTATCTTAAACGATATCAATGTTCTTGATCACTCACCCGTTTTTGATGATATAATAAAAATTCAAACTCCGCAAGTGAATTTCTCTATCAACATAAGGGAGTATCATTTGGCTTACTATCTCACAGATGGTATTTATCCGAAATGTGTTACATTTATCCAATCTATTCTACTTCCCCAAAGCCCAAAAGCATCATTATTTGATTTACATCAAGAAGCTATCCGAAAATATGTCGAGCGTGCTTTTGCAGTCTTGCAAGCTCAATTTTCCATTGCTATAAACCCCACTATTTCTTGGGATAAAGCAAAAATAGGAAAGATTATGAGAGCATGTATCATACTCCACAATATGATAGTACAAGACGAACGAGACGGATACACTCAATTTGATGTTTCAGAATTCCAACAATGAGAATGAAACAAAAGTTCACATGTGGATCTCACGTACTCTACAGATATGCCTACAAATTTCAGCAATATGTTGGGTGTTCAAACTAGAATTCGGGATAGACAACAACATCAACAATTGAACGCTGATTTAGTTGAGCATATAGGGCAAAAATTTGGACGTGATCAAGATAACAACTGAGCATATATGAAAAAAAAATTATGTGAAACCAAATGTATGTTTTAAATTTTTCTATCAATTATCTTTTATAATAAAACAATTTTTTTTAAGAACCCTATATGAGTTTCTCTCATTGGACCTGATTTTAAACAAGTTCTTAAACAAGTTTCTTAACTTTAGTAATAAAATAATCACTAAGAACATTTGATGGGTTTCTTGTAATAAACATGCTCTTATTATCTTAACTAGGTATCGAGCCCCTGCGAAATTGCGGGGGAAATAAGGTATATTAAACTATTAATTATTCTAAATATTTATAAGTAAACATATATATAACAAAAGGTGATGATATTTAAATGTAAATATCCAAACTTTTGGAAAAAAAACTACTATTGTAAAAAATAAATAGATATGACTTTAAAGATACAAAAACGAACGAAGTCGTACAAAGTAATTAACACACATTTCTGTTTGAGTTCATAGTTTACAATTAATGTAACAATCTATAACTCAACATATATATATATATATATCTATATAAAAGACAATTATACAACTGACATTGAGAAGAAGTTAAACAACGATTATAACCAACATGATCAATTTTATCGATAAAATTCAATCGTTGATAGATATTTTTTACAATGAAAAGTTTTTAAAAACATTATCGTGATATGAAATGTTAAAATCTTCAAACAATGATAATAAAATTCTAGTACAAAATCATGTATGAAAACAATTCAAAATTTTCATGATTTGTAAAAAATTTGGAAAAAATTTGGATTTCAAACCATTAGAAATAGTTTTCATACAATTTTAAGAACCTAAAATTATCTTGAATTTATAACATCATATAGCATTGGACATATTATATTGGCTTAACAAATTTTTAATTGTGTGATATTAGGCGTTTTTTTAAATTCGTTAGCTGTATCAAAAGTATAAGTTTGAGAGAACTTTGGTAGCTCACCATCACATAGTGGTACAGACCCAATAAGATTATTATTTTCATTATGGACTTTGAAACAGTATATCTCATATGTATTTTGAACAGAATAATTATTTTCTACATCCATTGAAGTAAAAGTTATGATATAATTATATGCTCTCATATATCAGAGAAACAAATGTTCAATTAAAAACTTAATTAATACTGGTGGAAGCTCACGAGCAATAGAGAGTAAAACACGATCTTGTTTGTAACAAATTAAGAACAATAGTCGTTTACGAACTGCATCTCTTTCAGTACTTTCTAATGACCAAACCCAACTACTACAATCGGGACATTGTATTAAGTTATTATTTGGTTCTTTTTTTCGTGATCTTCATCCTTTTCATTTAAATGGTTAACATTATTACTTCTAATTAAAAAAAACAGTTATAATATTATGACTACCAATATAAATATTCATTATTCCAACTTTTTTAGGGATAATGCTATCGTTTGTATTGGTTGAAAATCACCATCTATTCAAAAATAAAATTTTAACTAATATATGTAAATTAACTTTCCAAAAGTATATATTTAAAAATATTAAATTTAATTGACGTACTATTAACCAAAGATTGTTGTTGAGAGAAACTTTATATTTCTATTGAATTTCCAGTATTCATTGATTTTTTTATGTTTCCGGCAATCAATTTTTTTAAATATATTATATCAATTTAATATTAAACTTTTAAACCCTTAAATGGAGGATAACACAATAACAATTCAAACATTATCAGCCAAGTTTTAAAAACATTCTGCATGAGTAAATTTTAAAAAATGAAAAAGTCAATACATAACTAAATTTGATCATATTATTGAATAAATAATACCTTCTTTGTTTAAAAATAGTAAACTCATAGATTTTTTGTCAATAGTAATAGAAAAACTTGTAAATATAGCAGATACTTCTACTTTATGTTGTTTAACAGGTGAAATGTGTGCTTGATAAATAAAATGTTTATCTATTTCTAAATAAAAATACAAACAATATATATATATATTTAATTTGGTAGAAAGTTGTATTTTCTTAATGAAAAATTGTGTCTCTTCAAATAAGTAATTGTGTCTTTATTTTTGAAAAGATGCACCCTGCTTCAATATTGAAAAAGAAATTGTCTATATTTTGAACAGTTGTAATGGTGTAATAACCATTAACTCAAGAAGTGCAATGGTTTGTAAATTAATCTTAATTTCAAGAGTTGTAATGTTTAGTAAATAACTATAAACAAAAGAATTGACCATAATCTCTAGAAAAGCAATGTATAGTAAAATAACCATAAACTCAATAATTGCAATTGTTCACCAAAATAATTATAACACTTTAATCTCTAACATTTATTTCCTATTAATATGTAATTATATATTCACTAAATATACAACACAGACAAAAATAAAAAACCAAAAGACATAACCATACAATAGCTAGCAGTTATATATAAAAAATACAATTAAAATATATTTAATGGAAAGACACAACCGTTCATTCGAAGTTTTTCATATATAGAAGGTATAATTTAAATAAATAAATAAATAAAAAGACACAATTTTGTAATAATGATAACCTTTCATATTAAAAACTGTTATACACATCCAAATCTATTAGTTGCATTATCTACTTTAAAGTGCATTTTAATCCCCATTATAGTTTGGTATATCATGTTTCTTATGTCAAATAAATTATATAACTATTTTAGAATAACCAAAAATGTTACTACACTTGCATATTTAATAATAAATTAAATTTTAAAATTAGGGTTTTAAATATAACTAATAAACTTATAGGACAAAAGATTATGTTGCCTTCTAAAATTAGTGATAAACTTGCCAAAACTTAATTATTATTTTTGTTTAGTCCTTGAATTTTGGATATTGAGCGAATGTGAGACCCTCTAATTCAAGTTTTTATTTATTCATGGCTGAATAGAATTTAAAAAAAAAATTAAAAAATAACTAAACTCATAGAAAAAAATATTATGTTTCCTTTAAGATTAGTAATATGATTGCCAAGAGAATTACCATTTTTAGTCTAAATTATTTGGCTTTCGTTCCAAAAATATTTTCTTGGAGAATGAACAGATCTTTATGCTCCACTTCAAGTTTCTCTTTATTCATGACTAACCAACAAATTCATCTAACACCATTTCAGTAACATTGCTTGCAAATGAACAATATATAATTTTCTCAAAGAATTCTAAGTTAATTTGAAGTTGTTTTTCAAAATTGATGTAGAAGATTGATGTACAAAAGATTGATGTACAAAAAATTGATGTAGAAGATGTTTTTCAAAATTAGAGATCATTATTAAAAATTCAATAAAATAAATAATGAAATAGAATAAAATATATACAATCTTGAAAAGACATAAGCATTAAGAGAAGCAACCTTTCATAATCGGCGTTTATGTACAGTTACTAAAATAAAACAAAAAACACAACTGCAGAATTCAAACCATTGAATAAATTAGTAGCTATACACGAAAATGTATATTTAATTAAAAATAAAAAAATAAACAGAAAGACACAATGGTCCAGTTATAGTTTTTATTTTATAGAATTCTAAAAGGTACAAATGAATAGTCGCAATATGTG